AACAGCATGAAAAAAGACCTAGAAACCATAAAAAAGAACCAGTCAGAAATAAAGAATGCAATATATGAAATGAATAATACACTGGAAGGAATAAACAGTGGGTTAGATGGAGTAGAAGATCAAGTCAGTGATTTGGAAGACAAGGTAAAAAAAAAAAAAAACCAAAACACTGAGGCAGAATAGCAAAAAGAAAGTTAGAAGAATTTAAGAAACATTTTGGACGACATGAAGAGTAGCAACATCTGCACATGGTAATACCAGAAGAAGAAGAGAGTGAGCAAGTGATTGAGCACCTATTTGAAGAAATAATGACCTAAAACTCCCCTAATCTGGCAAAGAAAAAAGACACACAAGTCCAGAAAACTTAGAGTCCCAAACAAGTTGGACCAAAAGATGCCTATACCAATATTCATCTTAATTAAAGTGACAAGGCTTAAAGACAAGGAGAGAATCCTAAAAGCCACAAAAGAAAAACAGGTAGTTACATACACAGGAGCACCAGTTAGACTGTCATCTGAGTTTTCAACAGAAACATTTCAGGCCAGGGATGAAATGTTCAAGGGGATGAAAAACAAGGACTCACAACCAAGGCTACTTTACTCAGCAAGGCTATCATTTAAAATTGAAGGAAAGTTAGGAGCATCCCAGACAAGCAAAGCTAAAGGAGTTTGTTAACACCAAACCAGTACTGTAACAAATGTTAAAGGGCTTGCTTTAAGAAGGAAAAGAAGAGGAAGAGAAAGAAAAAACAAAAAACAGAGGAAAACAGTCTAACTATAAAATGGCACTACATATGTACCCATCAATAATCACCTTAAATGTAAATGGTTTAAATGATTCTACCAAAAGACCGAGGGTAGTTAAATGTATAAGAAAACAAGACCCATGTATATGCTGCATACAAGAACCCATCTCAGATTGAAAGATACGCACAGACTAAAAGTGAAGGGTTAGAAAAAGATATTGCATGCAAATGGAAAAGAAAAACAAAACCTGGGATACCAGTACTTATATCCAGCAAAATAGACTTTAAAACCAAGGCTATGGTAATAGACAACGAAGGACACAACATAAAGATAAAAGGAACAATCCAACAAGAGGAATAATCCTCATAAACATTTACACACCCAACATAAGAGCATCTAAATATGTAAAACAAATCTGGATGGACATGAAGAGAGAGATCAACAGAAATACAGTGACAGCTGGGCATTTTATACCCTATTGACTTCAATGGATTGATCTCCCAGGCAGAAATTCAGTAAGGAGACAGTGGCCTTAAACAACACATATCACATCAGCATTTCACCCCAAAGTATCAGAATATACATACTTTTCAAGAGCACATGGAATGTTTTCTAGAATAGACCACAAAACAAGTCTCAATACATTTAAGAAGATTGAAATCATATTGAGCATCTTCTGTGACCACAGTGTTATGAAACTAGAAATCAGTCACAGGAAGAACACTGAAAAACACCAAAGGCATGGAAGATAATACAAGTTATTAAACAATGAATGGGTTAACAATGAGAACAAGGAATAAATCAAATGATAACTTGAAACAAATGAAAATGATGACACAACAATCCAAAATGTGTGAGACACTGGGAAAGCAATCCTAAGAGGGAAATTCATAGCATTACAGGCCTATCTAAAGAAAGAAAAAGAAAGACAGAAAGAAGGAAGGAAGGAAGGAAGAGAGGGAGGGAGGGAGGGAGGTTCAAATAAACATTCTAATTTCACATTTACAGGAACTTGAAAAAGAACAACAAACAAAGCCCAAAGTGAGTAGAAGGAAGGAAATAATAAGTATCATATTAATAAGAAATAAATGAAGTAGAGTCTAACAAAATGATACAAAAGATCAATGATTCCAGAGCTGGTTCTTTGAAAAGATAAACAAGATTGACAAACCTTTAACCAGACTCATCAGGAAAAAAAAAGAGAAAGGACCCAGATAAATACAATCTGAAATGAAAGAGGAGAAATAATAACTGACACCAAAGAAATACAAAAGATTGTAAGAAAATATTATGAACAATTATAAGCCAACAAAACTGGACATCCTGGATGAAATGGAAAAATTCCTAGAAACATATAATCTTCCAAAAAATAAATAAGGAAAATCAAGCATCTGAATAGACAGATTACACCTAATGAAATTGCAGCAGTAATCACAAAACCCCCAACAAAAAAGAGCCCTGGACCAGATGGCTTCACAGGTGAATTTTACCATACATTCCAAGAAGAACTATACCTCTCCTTCTCAAACTATTTCATAAAATTCAAGAGGAGGGAAGGCTCCAAAACTCATTTTATGAGGCCAGCATTACCTAATTCCAAAATCAGATAAAGACACGACAAAGAAAATTATAGGCCTGTATTCCTGATGAACATAGATGCTAAAATCCCCAACAAAATATTAGCAAGCCAAATACAGCAATGCATCAAAAAGATCATACCCCATAATCAAGTGGGATTTATTCTCATAATGAGTGGTTGGTACAACATTCGCAAATCAATAAATGATTGACCACAAAAACAAAATGAAGGGTAAAAACCACATGATCATATCAATAGATGCAGAAAAAGCATTGGATAAAATCCAGTCTTCATTTATGATGAAAACTTTCAGCAAAGTGGGAACAGAGGGCACATACCTAACTATAATAAAGGCCGTATATGACAAACGCAATGTTAACATCGTACTCAATGGGCAAAAACTACAAGCATTCCCCTTAAGATTGGGAACAAGATAAGGATGTCCGCTTTCACTTCTCTTATTCAATATAGTATTTGAAGTCCTAGCCACAGCAATCAGACAGAGAGAAGAAATAAATGGCATCCAAATTGGAAAGGAAGAAGTGAAACTGTCTTTATTTGCATATGACATGATACTGTACATAGACAGCCCCAGAGATTCCACCAAGAAACGATAGGAACTGATCAATGAATTCAGCAAAATAGCAGGATACAGCATTAACATCCAGAAGTCAGTTGCATATTTATAAGACAATAATGATCTAACAGAAAGGGAAATTAAGAAAACAGTCATGTTCACAATTGCTTCAAAAAGAATAAAATACCTAGGAATAAACCTAATCAGGATATAAAAGACCAACCTGTACACGGAAAATTATGAAACACTGAGGAAATTGAAGAAGATACAAATAAGTAGTAGAAGCACATATCATGTTTAATGATAGGAAGAATTAACATCATTAAAATGTCCATTCTTCCCAAAGCAATCTACAGATTCAATGCAATCTCTATCAAGTTTCCAGTGACATATTTCACAGATTTAGAACAAGTATTTCAAAACTTCATATGGAATCACAAAAGGCCCTACATAGTAACAGCGGTCCTAAGGTCAAACTGTACTACAAAGCCAAAAAAATCAAAACAGCTTGGTACTAGCATAAGAACAGACAGAAAGATCAATGGAACAGAATAGAAAGCCCAGAAATAAACCCACACCATTATAGTCAATTAATATTCGATAGAGGAAGCAAGCACATACAATGGGCTAAAGATAGTTTATTCAGTAAATGGTGTTGGGAAAATTGGACAGATCGTTGCTGAAAAATGAAACTAGACCACCTTTTTACATCACACACAAGAATAAATTCAAAATAGATCAAAGACTTAAATGTTAGACCCGAAAACATAAAAACCTTAGAAGGGCAGCAAAACCTCGGGCATTGATTGTAGAAATTTTTTATCTGATGTATCTCCGTAGGCAAGGGAAACAAAAAATAAATAAATGGAACTACATCAAACTAAAAAGTTCTTGCACAGCAAAGGAAATCATCAATGAAATAAAAAAAAACACAGAATAGGAGAACATATTCGTTAATACATCTGATAAGGGGTTAATATCCAAAATTTATAAAGAACTTACAAAACACCAAAAAAAAACAAAAAACAAAAAAAAACAAACCCACCTAACCACCCAATTAAAAAAATGGGCAAAGGACCTGAACACACACTTCTCTAAAGGGGACATACAGATGGCCAACAGACATATGAAAAGATGCTCAACATCACTAATCATCAGAGAAATGCGAATTAAAACCACAGTGAGATACTATCTCACACCTGTCAGAATGGTTATCATCAATAAGTCAACAAACAACAAGTGCTGGCGAGGATGTAGAGAAAGCGGAATCCTTTTGCACTCTTAGTGGGAATGCAGACTGGTGCAGCTACTGTGGAAAGCTGTATGGAGATACCTCAGAAAATTAAAAATGGATCTGCCTTTTGATCAGTGATCCCACTTCTGGGAATATATCTGAAGGAACCCAAACCACTAATTTGAAAAAACATAAGCACCCCTATGCTCACTGCAATGTTATATATAATTGCCAAGATATGGAATCAGTCCAAGTGTCCATCAATAAATGAGTGGATAAAACAACTATGGAACATTTACACAATGGAATATTACTTGGCTGTAAGAAAGGAGAAAATGTTACCCTTTGCAACAGTATGGATGGACTTGGAGAACATTATGGTAAGTGAAATAAGCAAGTCAAGAGAAAGACAAGTACCATATGATTTCACTCATACATGGAATCTAATGAACAAACTGAACTAACAAGCAAAACTGAGACAGACTCAGATGGAGAGCATATGACAGCTCTTTGGGGATGTTAGGGGGTGGAGGGATTGAGTAAAAAAGAAAAAGTCTCCTGGACATGGACAACAGTGGGGTGACTGCTTGGGGAAGGGAGACATAAGGGAACTAATGGTAATGGGAAAAAAATACCATAAAGATTAAATAAAAAAAAGAAAAAGGTGTTTCTAAACTAATAATTTCAGTCAGTGGGAGAGTAATATTCTTATTTATAAAGCTTCAGTTTATACTGAAATTTTCAGGAACACATTTCTTTTGCTAACCACATTATATCAGTACTCGATTTTATGTGTATTTGTTAATTGGCGTTTTGGAAGACTTTTTTCCACCACTCATGATTATATCATTCATTCCTTTCTAGAGCATGAAGGGGAAGAGCAAAAGTAGTCATGACTTGCTTAAGGATGATCCGCATCTCAGTTCTGTTCCAGTTGTTGAAAGGTTAGTATGGTGCTAGGGTGATCGCAAATTCTTCTTTTCTGGCTTAGATAATTTAAAACTTCCTTTGTGAGTAAGCAGTCATTTCTCCTATGTCGAACTTTTTCAGCCCAGCCAAAAGTCAAAGTATTTTGACGATGGCGGTGGGTAGGAGAACTTCTAGGGTAATAGAAGCGCTGTCACTTTCACTCTTCTTGCTATCTGTCTGCCTCAGCTGAACTTATTAAATTGAAGATTAATTGTTAAACTTCTAAATCTTGGGATAGTTTGGAGACCAGAAAACTTTGCTGTGATGTTTTTATGTTTAATTCAGAGTTGCTCTGCCAACTTTTTCTTTGAAGCACTTTTTGTCTCCGTCAGTATGACTGGTAAACAAACCAGAGTTGAAGGCTTTTGTGAAAGTCACCTCATTTTGGCCAATCCATTGAGTATTATTTCTTACATATTGTCAGGAGTTAACAGAAGATTATTTACTATCTTTGTTCCTTCTCTTTGAGAAGGAAAGATGTCTTACTGTTACATATAATTGCACATGATATATTAGGCCCGTGTTTCAAAGGGAGACTAGAATACCTTTGTATTACTTTTAGCTCATTTTCAAAAATCCTGTTCCAAAAACAGTCTTTCCTTAATATCATTGCATTTGAAGGAATTGTTTTCACCAACCAGAATACATCAAGCCAGTGGAAGAAATTGTTTTCTGTAGCTCTTTATTCGTAAAAATAGCATTGTTGGTTATTGTTTGTTGGTTATCGATAGAATTTTTTCTTTTAATTTTGTTGATTTTGTGTATGTGCTAATGGAGTGTACTTCTTATTCTGTTTCTAAAAGTGACTCATTTTTTAGTATGTTTCCATTTACTCTAGAATGCCATTCTGAAATTCCTATGTTAAAATAAATTTTTGAAGTATTAATCCAGCAAAATATTCTAAATTTGGGGGTTATTGAGTAATTTTATTAGTTTCATTTTAAAGCTAAAATTTAATGTGTTTTTTTTTTGTAGTGAAAAAGATGATGCAGCAGGAGATTTAGATGATGTGAGTATTTTAGTATAAATATAGTTTGGACAATTTAAAGAAAATTCAAAATTTTTACAAAAATTAAATTGTTTTTCTTACAAGGCTATATAGATTACTTGTACCATTATATATAAATTGTTGATGCGTGTGTATCTATATAATGTGTAGGAAATGCTTAAATCAGTCATTTATAGTAGTTAGTATTCCTTCTTTATACACACATTTCAGGAGATTCTCTTTCATGACTCTAGTGATCTTTATTAGTTGTACTGGCTTAAAGCTGATAAAACAGGAGGCAGAGTTTCCTTAATATATAAGAGATCTAGTTTTTTTTTAAGTCAACCATTTCTCTTATGTAAAAACCCTTTGATCTGTGCATTGTATAATTCAGTAGGAAGTACATAACTTCCTATGCAGGAACACAGCTTCATCTATTACCACAGTCAAAAGAGAGGGTTCTTTCTCACTATGTATGTTATAGTAGGGAAAGGATGAATATCTAACCTATTCAAGAAAACCTTCCTGAAAGAGATGACTGTGTTGTGTATTTTCGGAGAATTAGGAGTTAACTAAATCAAGAAAACAACATGGTATGTTTTAGCTTAGAGAACAGCATAAAGTATGGTAACAAGCTTATTTAGGAAGTACAAGTTGAGGTTCACCTTTGAGAAGGAACCTGCCTTATGTGAAAAGCAGGGTGGAAGAGTGTTAGAGGTAAAAGAAACTACATGTACAAAAGGCTCTGAAACCAGAGTGAGTTTGGTGTGCTCCTGGGCTGGACACAGATGGATGAGTGTGGCCAGAGGGCCATGACAGGAATGAGCCTCGGAAAGGCAGGGGGAAGCCCAAATACTAGAGAGCTCTGTAGGCCGTGGTGAGGAGTTTACATTCCATTCTAAAAGTAACAAGCAGTTAAAAGGGTGTTAGTTAAAAAGATGAGTGCTGTCGTCAACTTTACATTTTAGGACGATCACTGTTGGCAATATTGTAGAGGACAAATTAGAAGAAATAGACTGGAATCAAGGAGACCTCTTGGGAAGCTATCGCAAGAGGACAGTTTGATATGAGACCACAGCTGTGAGATGGAAAAGAGACCTGACAGGTATTTGGTCTGAGAGGTGACTGATACAATCTTACCACGTGAGGGAGAACGAGGAGTCTCAGACAATCACAAGGTTTCTGATTTGGGCGACTTGTTCTATGGGTACTAAAGAAAGAGTAGGCTTGAGGTTGGGAGAAAGATGAAAATAACATGGTTAATTTTGTACATTTTGAGATTCAGAGAACTTGGAGACATTGTGTAACAATAATATGGGTCGGAAGATAGTTGGATCAAGGCCTGATATAAAAGTATAGATCTGTTCTTACAGTCTGGGTCAGGGTGAGGTCATCTCCTGATAGTGTGTGGTCTCTAACCTGTTTTGTGTCCCACAACCTTGGCAGTCACTTAATCTGTGGACTTTCTTCCCAGAGAATATACTGCAAACACAAAATTTAATGAATTTGCAGGGGATTTTTTAGATCTCCTGAGGACTAAGCATGGAAAACCTAGGTCAGTAGTTACCATCTTTTAGGGCTAAAGAATTTCTTAAACATCTCACTAAAAACATTCACAATTTCTGTTCCTAGAGATTTGGTTTGGAAAGACTGGGAGGGTTTTACATTTTTTAACAAATGATCTATGTTATACATGGGGGAACCCAAAAACCCAAAAATTTATTTGTAAAAAATTGTGTACTTATTTTTACATGTTTAAACTTCAGTCACCTTCAAAGTGCTGTCCACTGGATGCAATACACCTATCAAGACTTTTTTTTCCCACTGCTCAAATCAGTTTTTGAACTCATCATTTCGATGCTTTTTAGTGTTTCTGCCATTTTTTGTTTCACCTCTTCTACATTGGCAAAACGTTTCCCTTTGAGGATTTTTTTTTTCTGGGGACACATAAGAAAGTCACTGAGGGCAAGATCTGGTGAATTGGGACAGTGGGGTGCATGGGACATGCTGTTTTTGCTCAAAAACTGTTGAACACTCAATGCTGTGTGGGCAGGTGCGCTTGTAAATCACCCATCATGCAGTGGGCCAACATGTTGAAAGAATCTTTTAAAAAAAATTCACTGAAGCTGAATGCTGCCTCTCACAACAGCGCCAGCTGCTACTCTGATACAGATGGGTTCCTAGAACAGTCACCTAATGGGAGGAGCCTGTACTACAAGGGGCCTGCCCTCCCAAAAATAATTCTGGGTTTTTTGAGTCCCTGTTTGTATAGTCTGAGGACCAGACATTAAGGACCACTGCTCAAAGGGTCCATCATCTCAAGTTAAGTATCTTGCTTCACAATAGCTCAGCTGATCAAAGAAACATAAGAGAAAAAGATGCACTTAGAGTAGCATCTTCTTCCTCATCCTTTTTTCTCTACTCCCTCTCTCTGTTCTTGCTGGGAACTCTTCTGGGAATTGAAGATGTGTCAGTAAGTAAAATAGTCCAGAATATTAGCCCTTATTGAGGTCATCCTGTAATTATGGGAGAGATACAATAAACATACAACCAATTAAATTCTATATTTCAGATGGGTAATAAATGTTTTGGGGAGAAAACAGGGAAGAGGAATAGAGTACTGGAGGTAGTGGGTAGTTCTGCCATTTTAATAGGGTGATCAGGATAAGTCTCACTAAGAGGGTAACATTTGAGTAGAGATCTGAAGGAGATCAAAGAGCAAGCAGTGCAGATATATGCAGTGAGAATGTTTCAGGCTGGAGAGAACAGCAGCTCTAAAGTTGGCTAGTGTTGCTGGGATGGAGACTATGTTAGGAAGGTACAGATTGTGGAGGGTCTTGAGTGACTTGGGGAGCCATTGGAGGGTTTTGAGAAGAGGAGTAATTGCAGTGACTTAGATTATGGGAAGAAATCTCAGCTGTCCCACCTCCACTTCTTCTACTTGAATTAATCTCTGGTTGAGATCAGGATGATGGAGATACAAAAGGAGCAGTTTGCTGCAGAGCGGGACTGGGTATGAACTGTGTGAACAACCCCGATGGGGTTGTCTCACATTTACATAGTTCACCTAGAGCAGGTATCACAGGGATATTCCCCCCTGTAGCAGATTCATCAGGCCCTTATTAATTCAGAACAAAACAAAACAAAAACCAAACCTGGCCTAGGGTACAATGAGGAGAGTCTGAGGTGGACCTCCGGAAGCAAAAAGGGAGATGGAACGCCCGGCAAATACTCCGTTTCAATTCCTACAGGATGGAGAATTTGAAAGTGCAGAGCATCATGAAGATATCGATGGCAATGAGAAGAGCCTGATGCGAGAAAGAGTTGCAAAAAAGTTAAAAAAGGACCCAAGTGCAAATGTTAAATCAGCTGCAGAGGGAGACGAGGAGAAGAAATCAGTTAGCCGCAGGTGAGTCAGTTATTTTACTTCTAGATATCAGAGTATTTGTCTCTTTATGCTTCATTTTAAATTAGGACTGAGTCCTCTAGCTAACTTGTTTTTTTGTTTTTTTTTTTAAAGATTTTATTTGTTTATTTTTAGAGAGAGGGGAAAGAAGGGAGAAGGAGAGAAACATGAATATGTGGTTGCCTCTCGTGCATCCCCTACTAGGGACCTCACCTGCAACCCAGGCCTGTGCTCTGACTGGGAATCCAACCAATGGCCCTTTGGCTCACAGGCCAGCAGTCAATCCATTGAGCCACACTAACCAGGGCTAGTTAACTTGTATTTAAATACTATTTTTATAATGTTTGATATATGTACCAGTTGTGCTAAAGTAGCTCATTTGGAGGCCTAAAAGAAAATAGACCAGTTTTAAAGTAATTACAGCAATGGTCCTATGAGTCGAATTCCACTTCATTTCTCTCTGATCTCTTCTTTAAAAGCCTCTATAAATTTTTATCTATGGGGCAAGCAGTGTATTAGCTAGATGTGAAGTTGTGTTTGTTTAATATCAACAAGACGAGTAGAGTAAGTGTATAGAATGAAAAGAGATGTCTTCAGATTTAGGTGAGTAAAATTTGTTAAAACTGGTTAAGAAAGTGTGTGGGCATGAAAACATTCTTAAAAACCTTTTCAAGTCTGACATATTATATACCCCTCCTAATCTCAATGGTATCATAAAAGAAATTTCAGCAAGTGTTTGCTGAAAAAGAGTTGTTGAATTTTTAACTCAACATTTTATTCCCCTGAAAATTAACATAATTGAAAAATTCTTCTCTGTGATTTTGTTATTGCAACTTTATGATATACATTTTAATTAATATTGCTTTAAAAATAATAGTATTTGTTTTCTTTGGATGACCTACATTTGGGGATAAGGTAGATCTAACTACAGTTAAACAACATGTTATGTTTCTCAACCTCCTACAAAAAACTTAAAAAGTATTCCCATGTTGTCATTTCTTAGCTCCCTTAATTTTTTCCTTTATGTCACCAGAAAAGTAATTCCCAGAAATTTCCACTGATGGTATAAACTTTTGCATTCAGAAATGGTACTTAGAATGTTATTTCTCAACAACATTCACCTGCCAAGTAATCACTGTCGAGTAATTTAATACAGTAGATTAATTTGGGCCACCATTAACTGAAAATTTCAGTGATTATGTATATGCTTTCACATAAATGGAGTTGATGAGCCTCTCATCACCTCTAACTTTTAGTCAAATCATGAATATAATCAAAGATGCTTGTTCTCTCTCCCTCTCTCTCTCTTCTGTCTTATTCAAAACAAGTGTTTTCTGAATTTTAAGAACTATGAATTAGGTTTATAATATGAAGAAAAATACATTTTGAATTTTAGTAAGTGAACAGAATATTTGCTTTTTAAGTGTTAAGTCCTCAACTTTATCTTGTTGACCTTCTATAATTTCAAATATTTATATACCCTGTAATTAATAGAACTTATAATTTAGCAAAGCTGAAATTTCTTTAAGAACTGATTTGGCAAGATTGGCTTTACTGAACACCAAACATCTATTTGTAAGTGTTCTCTTTCCCAAATTTTCAATATTCACATCTCCTCTCCCTTCTTTATCCTCTCTCCTACCTTCAAAGAAAAATAAGAGAAAAATGAGATCAGGAGAAGTACAGAATTTCTAAGGGAAAATAGTTTTATGTCTTATGTAAATTTCCATGATTGTCTTATGACCACTTATTTTAAGTACAAAACATTTCCAAAATCACTAGTGCTTTTGGTCAGTTATACTAGCTTTACTGTACTTTTAAGTCTTAGGCAAAGGATAGGCAAACCTATAAAGGTTTTATATTAAAGAAAAAGAAAAACAGAAAACCTCTAAGAGTCTTAAAAATTGTAATGTGGTGAAAAGGATAATTATATTTAAAGGGAAAGCACTGCTCCGTCTAAGTTGAATAATAATGGAAATAGCTGCCAGCGGGATAGGATGTCAGTGTGAAATCATTATCTATTTAAAACTCAGTGTTCTTGGTGTTTGCAAACTTTGCATCTGGATGTGCTCAAAGCACTCTGTTATCTTCTGGTCATTTTCTTATTCCAGCAGTAGGGATCAGGGATTAGACTAGCCTACCAGCCCTTCAGGCAAGGAGCCATTCAAAGTGTAATTTTACTGAAAATTTTTGGTATTGTTTTTATTGGTAAAAAAACATCTGGAATCTGTTAAAGCTGTTTATCACTTTGCATGTTAAACTGACAAGCAGGCTTGTTGAGTACTTAATATTTAAGCTTGGGGATGGTATTTAACAATATAATTTTCAACAAATTTACATAGAATCTTCCCCTAATAATGTAAACTAAGCAATATCTCTAGTTGTTCCATTGAAAAGTACTTAGAGATTCAGGAGAAATAAATCCATAGCTATTCCTACCTTCTCTCCTTTCTTTTTTCTCATTATACTTATTCTGACTTCTTTCGGATTTTGGTCCTTTGCCTCCTTCCTTTTCCAAATGCATTAGTCTCTCTCTTTCTTCCTCAGCTCACCTTCTCTAAGCATGTACCTTGACTACTGGATGTTGACGAGCAAAATCACACAGCCAAGTACCAGCCCAGCCTTAGCGGGGCCTGCAGTGCTTTTTCATTAACCACCCCCCACGCTGCTTGCTTCACACCTGGATCTCACTCTCATCAGGTCACCTGGCTTCCTGTTCTTGAACTAGGAGTAACTCCTTCAGGTCTTATTCTTTTCTCTTTAAACCCTTCCACTTCCAGACCAAAGCTTATCTTTATCCTACACTTTAAAGGGAGAGGAATCTCTCTGCCCGTCCAAAATGATTCCATCCTTTCTGTTGTCTTCACTTTTCTCTTGTCAGCATAAGAAACATTCAAAGCTGAGAGAATTGGTGTGTTTATTTGAGCCAAACTGACAGTTGCCTCAAGAAGCAAAACCTCAACGGATTGAGGAAATGCTCCGCAAAGTGGCAGTTTGCACCTTACTTAATACATTACAATCAAAAGAGAAGCCGGCCTGTGGGTTACATGAAATCTAGTTAGTGATAGATTAAGGAGGTGGGAGGAAGCGAGTGGGGAGGGGGTAGCGGGGTAGCTCTGGAATTGGATAAAAAGTAAAATGTAGACATGCTTCTTTTACATAGATGGGTACAGGATAGTTAACAGTCAACAGTTAACACAAAAAAACAGCAATGAGGGATTTGTGGTCTCCGCTCTGGTGTGGTGGTTATGCACTGAGGGTCCAGAAAAAGGCGATATGACCTTCCAAAGATATGTCATCATAGATTCCGCAAGACAATAGACAGGCTCTGTTAAGGTAAAGATTGACTTTTGTTGAGAAAGATTCTAGCTTAGGACGACTACCTGCCATAAACTGCTTTTGGTTAAGAAATTTTAATTTCCGACCATCCTTTGTGGTTACCTCAGGTCTCTGAGTTGATAAGGCTGCCACGCAGGCCTCCCCTGAGCTTGTCAGGTTTAGTGTGCACCCCTTTTTGTCCACACTCTCTTCACCGGTTTCTTTCCTTCAGCTTGTGATTAAGCACCTCCCAGCATTCAAGATTAAAAACAAAAGCACTCCATTTTGTTTCCTGCCCCGACCTCCTTCACATGTATTTCTAAATATACATCATGTAGCTTTTCCCTCATCACTCCTCTGAAACTACTCTCACTAAGGCCATCTAATTAATACATGTAATGGCTACTTGCCAGTTTGTGGGGTTTGGGGATGTCTGTGCTGTGGAATTCTTTTGTCTATCCTCTTGAAATCTGTCATCCTCAAGAACCTGATTCTTAAAATGTGACCTGTGGACCAATAGCATTAGTATCACTTGAGAACGTTTTTTTAGAAACTCTGAGACTCAGGCCCCCTCTCCACACCTTCCGAATCAGAATGTGCATTTCCCCCAGGTGATTTTTATGTATATTAAGGTTTGAGGAGCATTCCTCTAAAATACTAATTTTTATCCCCACTGATAACTCGACTCATTCAAGTTTATATCAAATTAACTCCAAGATCAGCAACTTGGTAGTGCCTTCTCTAGCTCCCCAGGGCATTCTTATTGCACCTTTCTCACACTTCTCTGATAGTAGATCATTAGGTTATACCTTATTTTCTTCTTTCTGTACTTATACTGTAACTTTCTTAAAGGCAGAAATTGTGTCCATTTATCTTTGTATCACTGTGGTTAAGTGTCATAGGTATTTAAATATTTGTATAAATGAAAAACAAAATGAATCTTGAATTGACAAATCACTTTCTCCTCCAGGTCTTGTAAGTAACTCGCTTGTATTTCTCACATGGGATTTATAGGTTTGCCTAACCTTTGCTGAGACTGAGCTCCTTCAGAGACTGTGGGTTTTTATCTTTATATACTCTGAGTCTAGTATAGTGTGCATACACTAATTGGTCATTAAAGTGCGTGTGATGAGTGTTTAAATAAATGAATGAGTACAGTTATGCTTTATTAGAGGAATGGTTTTCACTTTCCGCTGCACATTAAGTTCCCTAGATTTCACTGCCAACAGCATGTTAGGTTAATATTAGGTTCGCATTAGATACTGGTCCTCCCTCCCACAGATTCTGAATCATCTGATCTGCAGTGAAGCCGGGGCACATCCTTTTTTACTTTTTAACTTTTCATTGAAGTATCAATACATACTGAATATGTCTGTATAAATTATATTTCATAGTGCATGTAACATAAGTGAACAGCTTGCTCAAGTTTTACAAACCAAATACACCCATATGCCCATCAAGACACAAAATTGCCTTTACCTGAAGTCTCCCTCTTGCCCCATTCTGGTTTCTTCCCCCTCATCTCCTAGGAGTAGCCACTTTTCTAACTTCTAAAAACATACGTCAATTTAGGACAATAATACTTTATAACAGTGCTCTAGATAGTCGAATGTGCATTCAGGGTAAAGAACCCTACTCTCCACCAAACGCACGCTCCTTGATTACTGCCGAGGTATAGAATAACA